TTTTTAAAAGAAAAAGTTGTGGGACATTTAACAGATACACTGTATGTCTAGGAGACAATTTTTTAAACAAATCTTTGTAAAATGTGGAAAAAAAGTGACAAAAATATTAAAGCAGAAAAATCACTGTCCCGATCTGCCGTTTTCTCCCAAATGTAACTGATACCGCATGAGTGAAAAGAAGTCATTACAGAAAGTAAACGCAGGAGTTGAAAGGCATTTAAGCCCCCCTCCTGCTTTTCCCCACATCTCTCTCTCTCTCTCTCTCTCACACACACACACATACTTAGTCTCTCTGATCTTTCAATATGTTTTCTGCTTTAATTCCTTTAATTATTATTTTAAATTTCTTTACAAGATTTTACATTTTAAAACGGAAGATAAAAGATGTGGGGCATTTAACAGATACACTGTATGTCTAGGAGACAATTTTTTGTTACAGATCATTGTAAAATATGGAAAAAAAGAAAGTATCATTAATATTAACGTAAAAGATTTACTGTCCCGATTTGCCGTTTTCTCCCAAATGTATCTGATATCACATGAGTGGAGAAGTCATTAGAGAAAGCGAACGCAGAAGTTGAAAGGCATTCAACGCCCCTCCCCTCCTGCTTCTTAACACATCTCTCTTTCTCTATCTCTCTCCCTTTCTCACACACTTTCTCTCTCAGATCCTTCAATAGGTTTTCTGCTTTATTCCCTTTACTTATTTTTCCTTCCTCTACAAGATTAGGCCTATATATTTTTTAAAAGAAAAAGTTGTGGGACATTTAACAGATACACTGGATGTCTAGGAGACACTTTTTTTACAAATCATTGTAAAATGTGAAGGAAAAAAAGAAAGTAACAATAATAATAATGTAAAAGATTTACTGTCCTGATTTGCCGTTTTCTCCCAAATGTAACGGATACCACATGAGTGGAGAAGTCATTAGAGAAAGCGAATGCAGGAGTTGAAAGGCATTTAACCCCCTCCTGCCTCTTCCCACATCTGTTTCTCTTTGTCTCTCTCCTCCTCTCTGTCACACACACACACACACACACACACACACACACACACACTTTCTCTTTCTGATCTTTCAGCAGGTTGTCTCCCTTACTTCCTTATTTTTCAATTCTATGTAAGATGATATAATTTAAAAAATTACAATAAATGCAGTGCGATATTTAACAGATATGTGGAGGAGACAATATTTTATATGTTACAACTACTGCGCTCGCTCTCAACATATGGAATATGCTCCATTTGGGAGAAAACGACACGGGGGTTGAGATAATCTTTTCCTTTCTTTTTGTCTTTTTCATTTAAAAGAGAGAGAGAGAGAGAAGCGGAGGGCGTTATAATATCTTACAGATTTAGCGGGCCATTATTTTTTTCCTTTTTTGTTGTTTTAACTATAGGATAGACGGTGTCATCATACAAAGAAATGGATTTTTTGAACTAATGAATAACTTATGTACAGACGAGATCGCAGAGGGAAGAGAAGTGGGGGGGGGGAGGGGGTAAATACCTCTAAATCTCTTTGTTCGCTTTCTATTATAGCCTCTCTACACATCTGGTATTAGTCATATTTGGGAGAAAACGACACGGCGGGTCAGGAAATCTTTTCCTTAATATTTTCATAACTTTTTTAAAAATTATTTTTACCTAGCACAGACGACCGTCTATCCAACATCTTACAAAGTACATAATTAGTCTCCTTAATATATCTGTTCAACACATCCAACATTTTTTGTTTGTTTTTTCTTTCTAACTATAACATCTTATAGAGAAATAAATTATATGATTTAAAAGATAATGGAGATAACTCATTGAAAGAAAGACAAGATAGAGAGAAAGAGAGAGATAGAGGAAGGAGAAATTGGGCAGGGGAAATACCTTTTAACTCCTGTGTTTTCCTTCTTTCTTAACCTCTCGTTGCATCTGGTATCAGTTACATTTGGGAGAAAACGGCACGGTGGGTCAGGAAATCTTTTCTATAGATATTTTGTCTCCTTGATATATGCGCTGAATATCTCACTATTTTTTCGTTTTTAATTATATATTCTTATAGAGAAATGAATTTAATGGTTTTGTGAATAAAAGCAGATAACGTATTGAAAGCCGAGAGGGAGAATTAAGGAGAAAGAGAAATAGTGTGTGTGTGCGTGTGTGTGTGTGTGTGTGTGAGAGAGAGAGAGAGAGGAGGGGGTTTGCGGATGAGATTACCAGGGTGGCTATCTTCTTAACCAGCCAAGATACCCCACCATGTTGCATAGAGAGTATATTTCAACTGGTTTTCTTCTAATATCCGTATTTTGATTGTTACGTAAGGAGATATAACTGATGTCAGCATGATCTTTATACCCTCAAAACTAAAAGTCCACTATAATACGCATAAGTTGAAAACGGAGCTGGTGTTATGATATCCAGCCACTTTTGAAGACAAACCTTAGATCTAATGAATGAATGCAACCTTTCAGGGGTTAAGAGTTCTAATTTATTTTGACACCGGTTCCTTGAAGCAGTAAACAGACCCTTACAAATTCGATCGCTTGCTTGCTATAAAGGACTCTCTACATGTTACGGAGCTTTGTTAGTATCATATTAACTTTTTTTCTATTTTCATTTAAGTTTTATTTTACGGAATTTTCACCGCGGTGAATTTTTGATTCTTTCTTTTTTTCACTTTTACCAAGATTTGTAAAAATATTGTCTCCTAGACATATCTGTTAAATATCCCACTGCATTTTTTGTAAATTTTTCTATATTATCTTATATAAAAATCTTATATAAAAATTAAAAAAATGGTTCAGAAATTAAAGCTGACAGCCATTGAAAGATCAGAGAGAGAGAGAGAGAGAGAGAGAGAGAGAGAGAGAGAGAGAGGTGGGGAAAAGCAGGAGGGGGGCGTTGAATGCCTTTCAACTCCTGCGTTCGCTTTCTCTAATGTTTTCTCCACTCATGTGGTATCAGTTACATTTGGGAGAAAACGGCAAATCAGGACAGTAAATCTTTTACGTTAATATTATTGTTACTTTCTTTTTTCCACATTTTACAATGATTTGTAAAAATAATTGTCTCTTAGACATACAGTGTATCTGTTAAATGTCCCACACCTTTTTATTTTCGGTTTGAAAATGTAGAATTTTGTATAGAAATTTTTTTAAAAGTTTAGAAATTAAAGCAGAAAACATATTTAAAGATTAAAAAGGGTGTGTGTGTGCGTGTGAGACAGAGAGAGAGAGAGAGAGAGAGAGAGAGAGAGGGAGAGAGAGAGAGAGAAAGAGAGATGTGTAAAGAAGCAGGAGGGGGGGGCTTAAATGCCTTTCAAATCCTGCTTTCGCTTTCTCTAATGACTTCTCCACTCTTAGGTATCAGTTACATTTTGGAGAAAACGGCAAAACGGACAGTAAATCTTTTACGTTAATATTATTGTTACTTTCTTTTTTCCACATTTTACAACGATTTGTAAAAATAACTGTCTCCTTGACATATCTGTTAAATATCCCAATGCATTTCTTTGCTACTTTTTTAAATTTTATAGATCTAATCTGTTATAACTCCTTGATGGAACCTACCAGATTTTTAAGAACGCCTGACACCTGATTATCGATCTGTTTTTTTAAATTACTTTCTTTTTCTTTTGCATTTTTCTTTGTTTGTTTCATGTTTATTTTTCCTTTATTCAGAAATTTAAGGCCATTCGTCTAAATGACAAAGCGAACCAGCGTTTTGCATGGCTACCCCTATTCAACATAATACAAGTAGGTCACCTAAATTGTAGCTTAGGCCTGCGTGTATGACTGTTACAGAAGATATGTGACACGATGTTAGTGCTTTACATGTAAGGGCCGTCCAGAGTGCTAGCGCGTGAAATTCCCTTGGATCGTATTACTGTCGCTCCTCACAAACCTCACCAACCTAACCTGTGTTTATGAGGTTGTCATCAGTTTTGTTTGACATATATTTTACCTAAAGACAATCAGCATGTTGTTTTAGTTATCTTACGGTCCTTGTATTCAGTATATATTTAGGGGTACAAAATTTAATCAATTAATGCCTATATAGGCCATATTGGCTGACCTATAGGCCTATCTGGTGAAATGTGATTTTAATGAAGACTAACACGAGAGACACATTTAGGTAAATCTTGGACCTAAATAGAGAAGGTCTCTATTTAGGTCCAAGGGTAAATTGAGCATGCATACCTGTCAACATTCACAATTTCTAGATAGGCACATTCCCTCGCACGCCGTACTCCCCCCCCCCCCAACACACACACACACACACACACACACACACACACACACACAAAGAAAGAAAGAAAGAAAGAAAGAAAGAAAGAAAGAAAAAACTGTTCCTTTTATTCAAATGAACTGTAAATGATTTGGATAGCGCCTCGTTTTTTTTTCTTCAGAAATGTTTTAACCTTAACTATAATCAAATATTTTGACTCAAATTTCAATTTAAGTATTTCGATGTTTGAAGAATTCCATTAGCTGTTTTACAAGTCAAATTTTGCACGCCGATCTTTCAGTTTTCACCGTTTCGCTTTCACCGGGGACTCAGTTAATTAAAGATGACACTCATGTCGTTAGCCTAATTTTCTATTATCTTTCTATATTTTTAAATATTCATAGCGTTTACACTCTGCCTCTTGATTTTCCATAGCTGTGTTTTTCGTAATGTCTTTTCTCCACGAGCAAAGATACAACCTACACCTTACCATTTTTAAGTACAACTATAGGCCTAGTGCTCAAGCCACACTTCATACTCTTTTTGAAACTTGCAAATGCACTATATTTTACCTTTCGACGTTTTTAGAACTAATTTCACAACTTTTATCGGCCAAGGATTCCTGCCTTGCAAAGCTATTTAGAATTAAGAACCCACAATACGACGCGAATCGACTGTTCTGACGTTCGCGCAGCTACCAAAACTTAACCAAAAAAATAATAATAAATAAATAAATACAAATAAAATAGGGTAAGGTGGTGTTCATTTAAACGTTAACAGAGGAAGTCTACTTGTAAAAGCAATTATAGTAAACAATGCCCACCGTTTTAATGTCAATATTAACATACACTTATGTAGTGTTCAGGGTGGTACTCACAAAAATCCCGACTTGACACTACCGTCCATCAATGAAACTAAAAAAAAAAACTGACAGCACATTTTCGTGAGTGAAGTCATCGCACTTTCTGACAAAGTTAAAGAGAGGAAATACTGATCGATCGGGAGATTATTAATCTGATTCGGGTGATCGAGAGATATGTCCCCAAATCAAGAGACTTAGGACGAGATCGGAAGCGCTGACAAGTCTGATTCAGTCTCCGTAGAAAAAACTAAATTGATGCCCATAACTGCCAAAAATCAGTGGCGGATCTGAGAGGGAGAGCCTTGAGTTTCAGAGATTTGCCATGCACCTCCTCTCTATCCAAAACAGTAGATCGATCTAGAGACGAGATAAACCGAGCAAATGTTCTTGTCAGTGTGCCCTATATATTCTAGTAAAATTGTGTTCGTCCAAAGAAATAATTTATGATTGATTAGTTTCAAGTAATTTTGGGACATCAGATCCTTTGACTACCGTGTTGTAGTGATAACACATAGACAATTGACCAAGAGGCGAGGTGACAAAAAAATTAATAAATAATAATAATAATATTAGATAAAATGAAATAAAAACAGCATGTCGCAAAACTATTTTTCATCATCTATTTTCCCTACCTTCGTAGACAACAAAAGTCAAATTTGATCAATGCTTTGAAGTTAAAAAACCTAAGTGTATCGTCAAAGAAGAAATATTCAATGCCATTTTAATGTGGTGTGAAATACAATTAGGGCAACTGAAATTGTTATCTATATTGGTTTATTTGACTATATGACAGACATGATATAAAACATACAATAGGAACTGTAAATACGCTGTGAAAAGTAATTTGTACAAAAGAATCGCTTACAGATACATGTAAAGCGGGAGTAAATGCTCTGTAACGTCTAAAAATTACTATAATACTAGTTTCTTACACAAAAACAAAAAATAAAAAAGAAATTAATATTTCGTTCAGCCAGAAAAAAAGGGGTGGTGGAGGGGGGGAGGAGGGAACAACGCTTTTTTCCGTCCAATATGTTATACACAAAAAGTTCGCAGAAACTATCTGTCCAAGTATCATTTTTCGGAAAATAATGTAACCAAACTGTGCGGTATTTCTTTTTGCATAATATACTGTTTGAAACAGTGGTACTGTGTTGGCATTTGGTTGGATTTAGTGGCATTGATCTGAGTACTCGTTTCAAGGTACACTCCATGAGATTTACCTTCCAAAATGGGTTTCCCCGGGAAAATAGGCAAATTTCTCGAACTCATATATCGTTAATTAGTAGTTTATTTTATACTGGTTTTTATGTATTTTATGTATTAGAAATATGCCACACTTTAAAAAATAAATGATAATTTATCCCTCTCTTATCCTCCACCTTTGATAAAATTGTAAAGGTTGGTTTTAGCTTAAATGACTGGTCAGTCATCACAACTGCGACCATTTTCCTATAAGCTCCAATAGAAATATCAACATCATGTACGCACCAGACAAAAATTCTTGGGTTTGAATCATTTTTAAGGTGTATATTATGTAAGGTTTTACAAGAAGCTGTGGATGCCAAAAATAAGCATTTTGGGGGGTTTTCAAACCAATGGAGTGTACCTTTGATGCCCACTAGTCCATTTTTTACGTTTTGAAAGTGGTATTTTAACCCATGTAATGTTTATTTTAAGTTAAAACTACAAATCGATCAATGTTGGTACAAAAAAAAAAAAAAAAAAAATCCGTCCGCTTTGATAAACTTAAAATAAATCATACGTTTTCTCAACAAGGATACAAACATGTACTGTGCTATCAATAAAATGTTTGTTAAAAAGCGTTTCATCATCAAAGGGATATAATGCTGGAATAGGTAATTCTTGTATAATATTTCATTTCATATTTGGATACAACGAATATTTAGCTAGAATATACATGACTGATCCATTTAACACAAATTTTACAAGCTACATAACTTTGCTCTTGGATACAATCGTTTTTTTTCCTTTAATATTTATCCGGGTCTGAAGAGTGTGATTAACCGTACGTAGCCGCCGCGACTGATCCCAAGAGTGCGAAGTACCAAATTAATACGGCCACGACAATGACCACACTGATCACGATGCCTGCTATGTTCAGCCCGAGAGCCACTTTGCCATGCGTACGTGCCGACTCCGAGTCCCCAGATCCATAAGCACTCTGGGAAAGAACTGAAAAGAACCAAATTTGTCGACTAGTGATTTTTTTCGCAATATAATCACATAAAGCTAAAGTTAACATAAAACACAACACATACAATGTTCTTTATCTGCATATTAAAGATATAAACGTTGCATTAAAATCACTTCAAGTATTGCCCATAGGGTTAGAGGAAAACGTCATCTTCCCTCGAAAAACAAGATAAGTTTGATATAAGGAAAAAACGCATGCGTGTGAGTAAAATATTTGATATTTACAAAGAAACGTGTGATCGCGGGTCTAGAATATTAAGATGAAACATAAATTATTTCCATAAGAATTTAAGCAATAACCTCGAAATTATTTATATTAAAAAACTGTAAAGCAAATCTTTTCGTATTCAGATATTAGCTCTGCAGGTTATAATTATTGCATGACTTACTCGAAAACACAAGAGCTATCAATCCAAGCAGCAGATTGCAACACAGCAGGACAAATATGGAAAGGATAAGATAATCTGGGGGCTTTGGATCAGGCACCTGCGTTATGATCATATTTGTTGACACGGGTTGGCTGGTAACAGCGTACGGTGGCTGTTGTTGACCATAGTAAGCACCAGGGGGCTGTTGACCTGGAGGCGGTTGTTGACCATAGTAACCAGGGGGCTGTTGACCATACTGGGGCCCATAGTTGCCTTGCTTCTCGGACATGATTCTACGAAAATGGAGATATTATGTTTTTCATTTTTTCTTCTAATGTGTTACTTTTTTCTTCAAAATAAAATGATACTCGTGCTTGGTTAGCAACGTGCGTCTAACTTTTGCCATTTTCAGGCAGTTGTACTTAACAAGTTACGATAAAAACGCAAGTTGAAAGTATGGAACTCGTAATGGTGAAATATGGTAATTTTTCTCGTCAGTCGGGAAAGAAATTCAGTAAAAATATATGAGAAGTTGAGTGACTTATTCATAAGGGAACGGATGTCAGAACATTTAAATTATTTTTTTTTAATCTCTGTAGATCGCGCCCTCAGTGTATCCTATTATTTTATGCATATCAATACCGAACTATCCGTTTTTCAAATATTAAAAGTAGACCTACATTTAAAGTGAGCGTTGATGGAGCGTGGATGCTCAGTTTCGAATATAAACCACTTGTACTAGTAGTAGTCTTATACGACTCAAATAAAGTCGACATGCCAAGAGATAAACCGAATTTATCACTCGATCAGTCGTAAAAGTGGTTTAAATTGCACCACCTTCAAATTTTGGTCGTGAATTTGACCTACTTTTCATTTGCCTGCCCCGTTTATTTACAACAACGAAAGCAAGCAGAAAAAAATGTTCAATATAATTTTTAGGTAACATGAAACGATGTCTTTCGGTATATCTCTAAATTACACTATTTGAAATTATAAGGTGGCAATAAAGGGAACCGGAGAAGATCAGCATTGGTCACAATTGTGCCGGAAGTGACGTGCAGTGGTGTTAGAAACGAAGCTGAGTGGTCATTTTAACATAGAGGTGAACGGCAGTGAAGACGGGTTGCCGGAGGAAAAAGAAGTTTTCTNACAAAAAGAGGATTACTTGGTGTGCCAGCAGAGGACAATGCCACCCGTCGTGCGTGGGCGCCGCTCTACACACCAAGACGCGAAAATTGAGAAAGTAAAGCAAGATTTACTCCGAGAAATGGCCGAATGTGGGTACGTATATGCCATGATGCCACAGAGTGCCAAGACCGTAATATGCGAATTTGAAAATGTTTTGGGTGGCAATATTACTTTAAAACTTGCTTGCTATTACAATCTTTATTGTGCATAAAATGATTGCCTAACGATTTTTTTCTGACAACCCCAGACGTTGTACGAATACTCAGCAGTTCAAGTGTGATCTCGAGTCTTTACCGCGGGGTTTCTCCATCCACCAGAAGCACTCTCTTTCAAAATTCTCTTGCTTTCCTCGCTCATCCGTTTTCTCACGACTTTCTTTCTTCCCATGACTGTGTATATAACTGTGTTCTGCTTAGCTGACGTAAGACTTATGAGCTGCCAGGGCACGCGTAACAGCTTAAGAAGTTAGACAACCATTCTTGCCCCGCCCCCATAGTAACGGTGCTTGACAACGGAGGCGGAGCCTAAAGCCTGCCACCCGTACCAGTCAGGACAGGTAGAAAAACTCGTCCAAATGTATATTTTTAGTCCGTGTTTCACAAATATTACTTAATTGAGTATTAGATACAAAATTGATTATTTCTAACGTATAAAAAACTAAAAATCGAGTTTTAGACGTATTTTTAATATCCTAGACCCCTTAAAATGACCACTCAGCTTCGTTTCTAACACCACTGCACGTCACTTCCGGCACAATTCTGACCAATGCTGATCTTCTCCGGTTCCCTTTATTGGTCGGGTTTTTTTGTGGCAAAAAATTTACTTTCGCTTTTATCTAATCACCATTTATTATCCAATGACTTTAAGTCAGAGCGCATTCAGAACAAGTTGATCCGCAGACTTACAGAACCGCGGATTAACAGAACCGCGGACTAAATATGGCCGACCCACTTAAAAGCAATGCCGACTAATCCCCTTATGTTCTCCCGGGCTCAACACTCGCCGTCGACACAGGGACCTAGCAATTAAATCTCGGAGCCGAGATTTAATCCGTTTAATGGCGCGTGCGGAGGAGTGGGGAAACCATCAGGGGATCAGGTGGCTTGCTTTTAAGTGGGGTCGGCCATATTTAGTCAGCGGATCAGTCAGTTCGCGGATCATCTTTTCTGAATGCTAACTTAGTAAGTGCTCCTCTTCCTTGATTTAGATAGAAACCAATTTAATAAATCGGTGATAAATCCTCAAAACTTCACCCATCCTTTCTGTACCCCCTATCCTATCCTTGTTGAAATTAACCCCTAAGGATAATGAATATGATTTATTTTCTTAAGGCTAAAATAATCATTCAATAAACGAACTGCTGAAATTATTCATGGTATTAGAATTATTGAACACACGCCAGAGATCCGCTGATTCGGTTGGCAGTCGATGTGGAGCAATTAATTTGTAATGCACTACCAAATAAACATCACCAAAATATTTCACAATATACCTTTTCAATCTTTTACAAAGACAAGCCTATTGAAACCCCGAGTAATGTTAAATTCTATAAAAGAAAAATGAAGAAATACTGTTCTGTTGACGCTGAAGATCTAGGTCACGGTTGAATGTACAGGTAGTTTAGGCCTATAAAGGTATACCAGCGGTATGCTACAATGTACACGCCCTTTATGTGTTAGGGACTGAGTTCGATTATCAGATCGTGTGAAACTCAGATTTTTATTTTAGTTGCCAAGACATGCACAAATCGGCTGATAAGTCGGTGGTGATCTTCTTAAGTGTCTTAATCGATCTATTGCGGACACTGGCCAACACTGTTTAAAAACGCCTATATAGTGAAATGAACAGCCCTTTTCAAAACCGTAAGGCCTATTCTTTAATTTTCATATATTAAAGACTTACTTAATGTAACAGGCATAGAAACATTTCATCAACTTACCCTCACTTTTCAATCAATCGCAGTTTTTATTGCAATGGTACAGCATAGATGAAAAAGCACACCTTCTAGGCTAGATTCCACTTTTATATCGTTCAACCAACAAAAGACTGCATTCAGATCCGTATTAAGGCAAGGCACGCTTTTTATAATAATGCAACCAAGCATCACCAGGCATGAATACAGTTGTATACCATTTGAATATGGTTAAAATATTTACTTGTATAGGGGCGTTAGGCGACCTATAGCTAACTAGGCTACTGTAAGAGTGCATTCCCAGAGTTTTAGATCGATCCATCTGGATCGATCTAACTCCCTGGGGGTTCACGCTAAATTGCTGTCAGCCGAGCGCGCACGACAGTTAATTACCCCCTTACAGCTTTTAAGCCGGCTAAGCTGACAGTAATCTAGTGAGACTCCCCACAGGGATAGATCGATCTAAAATCTGTGGGAATGGGGTCTAAGAAGCCGACCTGGTTTATGAAAGCACTTCTTTTGCTACACGATCTTTTTTACTTCAGCCATGTTTTCTTTACACTGTTTGCACTCTACTGACTGTAGGCTTATTTCTTTCTTTGGACAGGTTTTTCCGATGTTTGTTGGACAAATTCAGATGACAGGTTACAAAAACTAGACCTGCAGCCTATAGGGGCCTACAGACTAGGCTATGTTGCTCGTTGATAAATGGCTGTTTATGATAAAAAAGAGAGAAAAAGGTATGCCCCATTCGGTCTACTGGAATACCCCATCCCAAACCGATGACATTATTTCGCATCTTTATTTTCAAGCGTGTTTGTTTTTCATTCCATGCCGGAAGGATTCTTAATTTTAGCCTCATCCAACAGGGATGGTTTGAAAAAAAAAAGGATCAAAGACGGGAACAGGCCTCTGTCCATATTATAAAATTTTATCTTATAAATTATTTTAAGCTCTTTTGATTCAATATTTGGTGATATATCAGCCTTAAAGTGGCACCTGGTTGACCAAGCCCGAAATCACAACAAATTATGTAGCTTCCTGTGCTGAACTTTAGAATATCAAGATGGCGTCTTCCAGCTAGGTGGGAGGCTGCGCCTCATGAACAACAAAACAAAATTTTACTTATTCAGTGGAAACTCCATATCCTTTGAAGTAAGATGTTTTCTAGGCCGCGATCATGGCTTTCCGGTGGTGTTTGGAAACCCAAGAATCCACACTCTTTGGAACATTTGAAGTAAGTATACATTATGTATGATTGATATATTCTAGTGTGGAAACTCATTCATTTAATTTTAAACACTCGACTCTCTCTCTCTCTCTCTCTCTCTCTCTCTCTCTCTCTCTCTCTCTCTCTCTCACACACACACAC